AGTGAACCCATCAACACACAGCACCTAAATTGTAGGAGGAACCCACCATGCCGTGCAATAATCGCACGAGCCAAACCCCCTCGACCTACCTTCTCAATAGTATAGCAATAAAAGCATACCCACTTCTTAGAGAAACAAGAATCAAGAGAATAAAATAACTAAAATAGGAAAGCTGCAAAACCTAGATCCATAATAAAGAAACCCAGATCCATAACAAAAGGGGAAATAAAGATTAAAAGATAAGGAATGGAAATTGTTGTAGAAGAAATTGGATGTGTTGTTGAAAAAATCCAGAGTTGTCGACCAAGCTTTCCCATTACCGACTTTGTTCGTTACTCCCTTGTTATCTTTGCCTCCAAATCTCTTCACTGTCTTTAGCAACCCACTTCGATTTAATCAAACCCAGCAAGGGTACATCAATCAAACCCAGCATTCTTCAATCAAACCCATCAAGGATTCTTCAATCGAACCCAACAGTACCTGTTGGGTTTAATTGATGAATGCAGCAAGCGCTCCTGGGTTAAATCGATGAACCGAGCGACACCTATTGGGTTCATCGATCGAACCCAAGAGCGCCTGATGGGTTCATTGATTGAACCCAGTGACGTTGCTTGGTTCCTCCTCAGTTCAATCGATGAACCTAGTAGGTGCCACTGGGTTCATTGATCGAACCCAGTAGGCATCAATCAAACCCAAAGCCCCTAAGGCCAACGAACAAGGATTTGGGGCAAGATGATGAATGCTAGAGATGAAAATGAAGGGGTAACGAAAGGAAAATGGAAAGAAATTGATGTGTGGTTGAAGATGAGAGTAAAAAAATAATTTTAGTTTTACAATTAATTTTAGATATTTTATTTTTTATTGAAAATTACGTGAAAAGTTTTATATGCCATGTTGTCAATCCTACATGTTAACTAACGGGACATGTAAGCAAATTTTTAATGGAGGGACCAAATCGGGGTAAAAATAGTAAACAGTAGGAATTAAATCAAGGATTTTTTTGAGTTGAGGGACTAAATCGAAAGTTCA